GATGTTATACCTCCAATATGACCTATTAGACTAGTATCCACCCCACCCTTCCTCATGTTCATTCTCCTACCCCCAGCTATATCCTTTCTTACTTCGTTTTCCTCCCTCTCGGTGTTAAAATCTGGCGTAGAGATTACTGTGGCATCTCCCAACCATCTCCCCCAAATTCCTAGTTTAAAGCTCTCTTAATAAGTTGAGCCAGCCTCCATCCTAGAAGTCTATTTCCCTCCCTACTTAGGTGAAGTCCATCTCTAGAGAACAGTCCTCTGTCCATAAATGCCTCCCAGTGACCATACATCCCAAAGCCCTCCTTATAGCACCACTGCCTAAGCCATCTATTGATCATCATAATCCTGTCACATCTTAGTTACCCTTCTCTAGGAACAGGCAGAATCCCACTAAAGATCACCTGAGCCTCAATTTCCTTGCGCATCCTCCCCAGCGTAGCATAGTCTCCCTTAATTCGTTCCAGCGAGAATCTAGCAGTATCATTTGTTCCTACATGAAGGATGATCAATGGATTCCTTCCTGCTCCCTTAATAATCCTCTTCAACCTCAGTTCCACATCTCATATCTTAGCACCTGGCAGACAGCACACGCTTCTATTCTCTGGATCAGCTCTGGTAACAGGCCTATCTATTCTTCTCAATAAGGAGTCCCCAGTCACATAGACCTGTCTTTTCCGAGTGACAGTGAAATTCTCTGGTCTATCTCTAGCTTCCTCTGGCTGCAAGTACTTACCATTCCTATTTTCCCTTGTAATGCTAATGCTCATTATTGGTGTTGTCTCCATTAAGTCTTCCCCTTTATCTATGGGACTAGCCACTCTTGTCTTCTTCCTTACCCTTCCATCTTCATTATCTACCTGCTGTACCCCTTCTTCATTTTCCAACTCCACATACCTGTTCTTGAGCTCTATTTTTCCTCCACTGACCCATCTTTTCCTCTGCCTGGTTCTCTGAGTCACATGCTTCCACTGTCCATTTTCTTCGCCCAGCAGTCCCCCCTCTGAGGCCCTTGATCCTGCTTCCATCTGCATATCTAAGCTTTCCCCTTTAGCCACGTCATGCGTTTGCCCCATCATCTGCTCAAACCCCCTTCTAAACTTGACCAGAGTTTCCACCTGCATCTCCAGTCCTTGGATCTTTTCTTCCATCAGCTCTATCAGACGGCACTTCATGCAAACAAAACTCCTTTCAGGTACCCCCTCCAGAATCATGTACATACCGCAGCTACCACATCCAATCATCCTCTTTGTGTTCTCTACTACTTGGGCCATGGCCACTAATGCCTCTATGTTTTATCTACTTTCTCACCAAAATCCTATTAGTCCGGTGAACACAAAAACAAACCAAAACAACCCCTCCACAGCAAAAACAAACTCCAAACAAGTTCCAATATCCAAACTCCCTTTACAAACTCCCACTCAAACTCCCCTGTTTACAGCTCTGTTTGCTTGGCTCCTGTGCCGCTGCAGCTACACATTTATATCTTCTTTTAGTTGATGAATTGCCACTTTTTTGGTGAGCAGTTTGTGTTGCAAATACGCACACTGAAATTTAGGCCTAATTTGGAATGATGATTTATATTGAAGTCAAATCAGTAGAAGGATCTTCAGCAACTTGAGGAAGACGGTATTTGTTCTCAAAGCTCATAAGATCATGTCCTGTCCATGCTATTGTTCTGCCTAGCCTTTTGTCCAGAGATCCCACTGGCTGCTCAGTAGAAGAGCTGACTCAGAACATGTTTTCATTACAGTCCTAAATCGACCGGTGTTAGGTCAAATTACAGCCTCTGCAGTTGTTGCAGCAGTGGCTGATTACACACTACACTCCTGTCAGTTCTACATCACTTCCTGCTGGGAGCTGGTTTGACAGCTTCTCAGGCCTCTCAAATCACAGAGCAGGAATCCTCCAGGTACAGCCTGGCTGGGAGTGGAGTGCTGGAGGCTCCAGCATGGAGCTATGAAATTGACAAGTCAGCGAGTAGCTGTTATAAGTAACACGTCTACTCAGGCACTGTGTTGCCTATACAATCAAGTGCTATGCCTATGGTGGAGTTAGAGCTATTATATCAGTGTAGAGAAAGTTCAGAAAAAAATCAATAAAAATTATTATGGGTATGGAACTGCTGGCATATGAGGAGAGCTTAAAAAGACTGGGATTTTTTTATCTTAGAAAAGAGAAGACTAAGAGGGGATATGATAGAGGTCTATAAAATCATGACTGGTATGGAAAAAGTAAGTAGGGAAAAATTATTTACTTGTTCCCATACCACAAGAACTAGGAGTCACCAAATGAAATGAATAGGTGGCAGGTTTCAAACCAACAAAAAGAAGTATTTCTTCACATACCACACAGTCAACTGTGGAACTCCTTGCCAGAGGATGTTGAGAAGGCCGGGACTTTAACAGGGTTCAAAAAAGAGCTAAATAAATCATGGAGGATAGATCCATCAACCACTGTTAGCCAGGAGGGGCAGGATGGATCACGTGATGATTTCCTGTTCTGTTCATTCCTTTGGGGGCATCTGGCACTTGCCACTGTTGGAAAACAGGATACTGGACTAGATGGACCTTTGGTCTTATGCAATATGGCCGTTCTTATGCCCTATGTAATAGGGCACTTATATTGGCAGGACAAAGTTGTAATGTGTATGCTAGTATAATTAGGCTGACATAAGCTGCTTTACGTCAACCTAACTGTGTAGTTTAGAACAGGCTACAGTTGTAGGCAGCTGGCTTTTGGGAGCTAGGACTAACTCCAGAGCCATCACTGATGGTCTAAGGATGACTGGCTGCCACAAGCCTACTTGGAGTGGTCCTAAACAATTAGGAACTTTCGGCCATGATTGTGGGATCCTGTAGACAAATGAAAGGCTGGAAATTAAAAAATAATTGAGCCTACTGCTTAGGAACAATTATGTAGGGCTGCTTCTAAAACTATGATTTAATTTTATTCCTACAGACCGAGGTCAGATTTGCTCTGTGATTGCCTTTTTATCCAAATGGAATTCTGTGAGAAAGGAACATTGTATGACTGGATTAATAAGAAAAGAGGGACGGAAAATTACCAGGCTGAGTCTCTCATCAAATTTCGCCAAATAGTGACAGGAGTGGAATATATTCATTCTAAAAAGTTGATTCACAGAGACCTCAAGGTGAGCAGAACAGATGATTGTTGAGGATGAACTGATGTAATTAATTAATGTTTGAAGGATCAGAAAACAGGGAACCATTATTTTATTTTCAGGGGGCTCCATGTGAGCGTCAAGGTCTGTTAATATGTATAAGAGTGGGTATAAAATCACAAACCATTTTTAATGTGATATGCTGTATACTAGGTATTTATTAAGTTTCAAGTCTGAGTTTCAAGTCTGATTTAATAAATTACATATAACATATATTTTAATGTACTGAAGTTAATGCCTAATAGTGACACAGTACTACTTAGCTGTATGCACAAATGAGAACAATTATTATTTTGAGCCGTGTGTTTAATATCTCATTGTTAAAGTAACAGCTTTTATTTTTGATTCATAACTTCGCTATTCATTTCCTTGAATGTTTAGCAACTCTTCGACTGAAGCACACTGAGACAGATTTTTCCTGGTGCTAAAATTGAAAATGACATGTTTTTAATTGTCCTTTTTTAGCCCCTCAACATATTCATATCTAGTGAAGATATAATAAAAATAGGTGACTTTGGACTTGTAACTTCAATGACAGATGACCTGCGGACAACAGAAAAGGGAACAAGATTGTACATGAGCCCTGAACAGGTAACAGTTACTGCAGGTTTAATAGTAAGACAGTGAGGAAACACAAGTGTCTCCATAGTTACCCTTCATTTAAGTTTAGATTTAGCCATCCCTTCCCTAATTTCTCCAGTAGTAAACCAATGCCTAAGTTTTCTAGGTGTGATCCTAAACCAGTTTGAGATTTTTTCAGAAAAAATCTTAACAAATTGCGTAAGTCAGTTGTGAAATGAGGTGATCCTATTTCATCAATATTTTTTTTTACATTACAAAGTTTTAAAAAACCAGACCGTAAATTTATGAACCTAAATGTGAATTTGGATAACTTTAGGCATCCATTATTGAAAATGTTGGCCTTCGACTCTCTGAATCTGATTTGCCGTTCATAAGGGGAAGTAATTACTTACATATGGCATTATACTTACACTTATTATATACACAGTTACTTATATATGGTTCTATAGATGCTTCATTTCACATAACAGTAAATATTATTCCTATGTAAGATTTAAATACTTGTATTAGGATCTGATAGTCCCAGTTGTGCAGTCCTACAGCAAAATTCCCATTGACTTCATATGAATTGTAGCTTGTATAAATATTGCAGAACTGGACTATATGAAAATGCTTCAATTATAATGCATTTTAGACCTAAAAGGTATGTTTGGTATATACTATTTTTATTGTAATCACCACAGAAGGGGGACACATATGGACCTGAAGTGGATATATTTGCACTAGGATTAATTCTCTTTGAAATTGTTTGGATATTTCCCACTTGTGCTGAAAAATATATGGTAAGTGATCTTTACTTTACCCCTACTGTGTAGATGCACCCTGAATGTCTCAATTATTTTTCCTCACAAAAACCCTGTGAGGTAAAGAAATGTGTATTATTTTACAAATGTGCAACTGATATGCAAGGAGATTTAAGACCCCGATCTTACAAATACGTAACCACATATGTAACTTTATGTTAGGGCTGATTTGTAAAGGGTTTTTTAAAATGGGAAATTAAAAAAATATTTTAAAAATTGTCCATGAAAAAAATGGGTTGCTTTTGTCAAACTGAATATTTTTCAATGTGCAAAAACCAAGAAAATGTTAGGATTTGGGTGTTTTTCTTGGTTTTCCTTTTAACGTCCAATTAGGGAAGAATAAGAGAAGGGAGAAAAAAGAGAAGGTAAGAAAGAACCCTCTCAATCATTTGTTCAAAAATGAAACAGTTTTTATTTAAAACAAATTTTAAAATAAATTAAAATGGCTATACTTTGTTTGCTTATTTTTAAATAATAAGACATTTTGCGTCAGAAATCCTTTTTTTTTTTACCAGCTGCTCTTTATGCAGTGAGTAATTTTGCTGAAGTGTATGGCACCCCCCTGCCCAGCGCCTCCCCTCCCACTGTTCCGTGTGGCCCTCCCGCAGCGCCAGGAAGCACTCTTCCATGGCTGGATACCTCGTCTGTGCCTGGTGCTGAGAGGCAGGGCAAGACATGCCTCTCCCAACAGCCACGGCAGGAGGGGAAGTACTGGGCGGTTGGTGTACCAGAACCCCGGCCTCCAGAGCTGCCGCGACATGGGCAGCAGCACAGGGCTAGGTGAGGGAGGCAAGGGAGGCCCTGTGGATTCCAGGGGTGGGGCTAGTGCTGGGGGACTCTGGAGGTTGAGCTAGTAGTGTGTGTGTGTGGGGGGGGGGCGCTA